CACTTCACCCAGCATCTCATTTCAAAAAGTGGGCAGCTGTGCAAAATGCTGTCCTCCACTATTGCATCTGAGAAAGGGGTCCTCAGTTGGGTTCTGCAGTTTTCTAGAGATGAATACAGGATGCCCGAGTCAGGCCTATATAAAGCTGCACAAAGGATTTGATCACACATGGATTTTAAACCACCATTGTCATTGTTTGCCATCAAGTCAATTCCAGCTCATGGAGACCCTACGTTGACCCTGTCATGGGGTTTTCTTGGCAAGATTTCTTCAGAGGAGGTTTGCCATTGCCTTCCCCTTAAACTGCCATACAAATTGGATAATAGTGCCTTTGGCCAGATCTGTCACAGGACGCCATCTCCCTCCCATCGCTGTCTTGTCCTTGAAGCATGATGGAAAAACCCATTAATACAATCTCGAGAGCATTTGTATAGCGCTAGTCTTCAGGTGTGGCAAATTAATCCCATGGAAGGTCCAGAATTGCACAGCCATACGGTGTCAATGTCTCCTCCTCTCCCACCCCTTCGCTATTCCAGAACAGCCTTTTTAAAAAACTTTCTTCCCCACTTCTTTGGTTATTAAACTGCATTTGCATAACTCTACAATTGTGTTTAAACCTTGCACATACAAATGCAAAGCACATTGGGTAAAGCATAGGGCAGGGAGGTGGGTTTAAGGGTTAGGATGGAAGAGAGAACAAGGGGGGGTATGGGGGTGCGGTATGCACCAGGTGACACCCTAAGCAATATATAGGAATTATGATTTATGAGTAACATTCGTTCAAAAATTTTTATTAAGGGTTCTGTATGGTGTGGTATGGGAGGAGGTCAATGGAGAGGGGCAATACCATGAGTTATCATACCGGGTGATGCCAACCCTAGTGACTACAGCCTAACAGATGCACTAACAGGTGTGTGTGTGTGTGTGTGTGTAAGGAGTGGTCCCAAACTGTTATGTGTGCTGTTCCCTTCATTAATGCGATCCTAGTGAGAATGGAGGCAGCACAATAAACTCCCAAGTCTCTGAAGAGGAAGATCTCTCATGAGATCTAAGGGCTCCTGCGAAATTTCAGATTTGTCCGGGGTGACCAGACATCCTCCTTTTCCAGGACGTGTCCTACATTTCAACCTTCTGTCCAGGAGGAATTTCAACATGTCCTCCATTTTGAGCATGACTAAGCAGCATGAATTTACATGTATATTACTCCACCAAATGCATCCGAGGAAGTAGACTGAAGTCTACGAAAGCTCATGCTGCCAACTTCTTTCTGTTAGTCTCAAAGGTGCTACAAGATCTCTGTACATGTATATCGGTGTTATTAGCTTGCATTTTGTAATGCCCTACAGTTTTCTTGAATGTCCTCCATTTTGCGGTGCCTTGTTTTCCTTTGAGGTTATGAAATCTAGTCACCCTGGATTTGTGGGAAACCCAAAACTCTTGCAAATCTTGGCATGGAAGGCCAGCCATCTGATGAGAACATTACTCTTTTGCTTGGCATTAGCTTAGCCAGAATAAACCCAGTAGGTCAAGGTTAAAATGTCCCAGTTTCTCTCTCCTCCTCCCACTTTTTCCTCAGCTTACTTCAAAACTGCTGCAAACTGAGCTCAAAGTGCAAACGTAATAGTTTGCATTCAATTAAACTCAGCTGAGGGAGAGGAGAGAATGAGTATTATTTTTATTATTATATATTTCATTGGGATGCTGCTTTTCTCCCAGAAGGGACCCAAGGCGGCTCAAAGACAAAACCACAGAGTAGAATCTTGCTCTTTCCAGGAGCCTTAGGCAAAAGCAAACTGCAGCCTCTCCCAGCCTTTGCATTTTTGACCTGATATCGGCATACCTGTAGGGAGCATGCCTGGCTCTCAAATACAAGATTTCGGGCTTCCCGTATCACCTCGAGTCTCCCCAAATACGGGATGTCCCTTAGAAAACATTATCCCTGGGGACCCTGGACCTTGGTGGCATACAGCTCTGGAGAGACTTGGGCAAAGATGAATAGGAGCCTCTGAATAGAGGAGCTCCCTTTGCTTCTCAAAGCCCCCATCTGCACATCTGACAAACAGCTGGATCGGGGCGTATCTGTGCCCCACAGCGGTTCCTGCGACTGCCTTGCCGCACGCAAGCCTGCCTGCCTGCCTCCCTTTTTTAATATCCGTGTTTATATCTGTGTATAGAATAGCAGCGGCAAAAGTAATCCAGCCAGACAAACAAAGCAGGAGAGCCAAAGGAGTTAGAAAAGGAGGAGGAAGAGAAGAAGGGAAGAAAAAAAGGAACAGCCTTACAAGCCTGCTGGTGTTATTATTATTATTAAACTCATTCAGTTCCATCCTGGCTCACAAATCCTAGACCACACAAATGGAAGTACCAGCCGGAGGGCTACTGAGGAAGAGCCAGATCCTCTTAGCCTCCCTCCTGAAATGACAGGGCAGGGGAAAATTCACCTTAGTCTCTGAAAAAGAAAGATTTGGGGCCCAGCAGTGTGAGATGCAAATGCATGCAACTTCTCCCCTCGAAGATCATTCTAAAACAGGCACAAACACACTCTGGAAGGAAGGGATTTATAGCACAGGAACAACAGCAAGGGAGGGAGTGCTTAACTATTTTTATTCCCAACCATCTCTTCTCTCTTGCAAACTTCCCTACCAAAAAACAAAAAACAAAAAAGCATTGTATTATTCCCTGTGCCCTCCCCTCCACACAGTGTCCAAAATAAACATTTCCAAAAATTAGGCAAAGGCTCATACCTTGCAACTGTCCCAATTTGAGATGGTCTTGGTTAATCCTCTGCCATCCCGCTTTCTCATCTGCATCTAAAATGTCCCAGTTTCTCTCTCCTCCTCCCGCTTTTTCCTCGGCTTACTTCAACTGCTGCAAACTGACTTCAAAGTGCAAACATAGTTTGTATTCAAATAAACTCAGCTGGGGGAGAGGAGAGAATGAGTATTATTTTTATTTATTTCATTTGTATGCTGCTTTTCTCCCAGAAGGGACCCAAGGTGGCCCACAGACAAAATCAGAGTAGAATCTTGCTCTTCCCAGGAGCCTTAGGCAAAAGCCAACTGCTGCAGCCTATCCTAGCCTTTGCATTTTTCTTCACACACACCCCCCCCCTTGATATCACTTTGATGTTGCTTGGCCACATTCAGATCTTTGGATATAAGGCAAAATAAAAATACTTTAAGAATAAATAAATAAAATGACAGGGGGCATTTCACAATCGTGCTATGATTCCACTTTAACTGCCATATTAATCCTGATGTTTAATCCTACATCCTACGTAATCCTGTTATTTCTAGTTTGAGGCATTAGAGCTCTTTGGTGAAGAAGTCTAAATTCCCTTTGACCCAAAAGCAGCTAACAACAACAAACTAGAAATCCTAGAATTCCACTGTGTTTGTGTAGTGCAACCCTATACTCATGTAGTTAAGGGGTGGTTGTGTTACTCTACCTTTCTTCTGAATATCAGCATTGTACAACTAATAGTGTGCCAGCCAATGTGCTTGTGCCTCATCTCATTTTTCAATGGGGAATAATGCATAGGGACTATTTCTACAATCTTAGGGAATCAAGGGCATAAAGAAAGAGCAAAGCACCATCCAAGAATTGCTTGTGCAACAATTACATTTGCACAACTCTGCTCAGACAATGGTGAACTGAGTAAACATCAACAGGATTGAGAAACAACAAATTTGGGTATCCCTACAGACTGGCATAGTAGTTTGAGCATTAGACTGTGACTCTAGAGACCAGGGTTCGAATCCTCACTCAGCCATGGAAACCCAGTGGGTGACCTTGGGCAAGTCACAGTCTCTCAGCCTCAGAGGCTAACCCTCTTTGAACAAATCTTGCCAAGAAAACCCCATGATAGGGTAGGCATAAGGTACACAACAACAAGCAAACTGGAAAGTATGCTGTCTGTTACTACATCTCAGTTTTAGCCATGTCTTTTATAAGTGCCAACGGTTATGAATATGATTTGCACATGACAAAAGACAACATGGAAGCCAGAACTATAGCCTAAGCTGACATCACATAAAATCCTGTTAAACAGTCTTAAGCCGTAGGCTTTCATGGCTGGCATCCATAGTTTTTGTGGGTTTTTCGGGCTGTGTGGCCATGTTCTAGAAGAGTTTCTTTCTGACGTTTCGCCAGCATCTGTGGCTGGCATCTTCAGAGATTATGTATATATACTGTGTGATCCCACTCTCTTCCATGCTAGCATTCTCTGAAGATGCCAGCCACAGATGCTGGCGAAACGTCAGAAAGAAACCCTTCTAGAACATGGCCACACAGCCTGAAAAACCCACAAAACCCAACAGTATTAATATGGGTTTGTAGGAAGATTTAGGGAGGAAGGACTTGCCCTGGACCCCGATCTCCATCTCAGTGGTTCAGCTATCTGCATGCTGGGAGGTGCTATGGAAGCCACTGAGGGCAACCACAAGAAAGGGATTAATAAATTAATTCAATATTTGTGGACTCTTGCAAGGAAAACCAGGGAGCGGATTCTAAGAGATGCCTTCAGATATTTTTGAAAAGAAAGCAAAGACAGGGCAGAGCAAGAATGGTTGGATATCAGCCGAGATCAGTAGGATACCATTGCGAGAGCCAGGTATTTGAAAGACAGGTACGGTAGGTCAAATGAGAGGCTTATCTCTCATGCCTCAAGGATTTTCTCTGAGCAACAAGAGAATAATATTTAGGCAGGATCTTCTACGGGGCTTGGACACACATCAAAGAGACCATGATATAATGGGGAGGATTCTTTCCACGTACTTGATGTGTGTGTACAAGTGTGTGTGTATGTATGTGTTTTATTACTGTGAGCTCCTATGAAAACCACTACAGTAAAAATGCAAAGTGCAAATTGTAAATATAACTAAAAAGCTGAAAAGCAGTCGGTTTTGGAAGAAAGCTGCAGAGCAAAGATGTGAGTAAACATCTCTTCCCCAAAGCCAGGGAAAGTAACTTGTCTGGACTATCCTTTCCAGAATTTCACAGCCAGCATGGTCTGGGGGTTTGATGTTGGACTAGGACTCCAGGGGACTAGGGTTCGAATCCCTATTTAGCCACAGAAACCCACTGAGTGACCTTCAGCAAGTCACACTCTCTTAGCCTCAAAAGAAAGCAATAGTGGCAAAACCTCTTCCAAAGTAATCACACCAAGAAAAGCCTAGGAAAGGGTCGCCGTAAGTCACACTCTCAACTTGAAGGCATATAATAACAGAACATCAAAGGAGGCATTTAGAAATAATGCAGTTTGACATCACTTTAGCTGCCATGGCACCGTCCAACAGAATCCTGGGATTTGTAGTTTTGTGAAGCACCAGCCCTCTTTGGCAGAGAAGGCCAAAGACCTTGCAAAACTATAAATCCCAGGATTCCATAGGATGGAGCCACAGCACTTAAAGGGAATCAAATTGCATTATTTCTAGTGTCGATGCACCCAAAGAAGTAACTTTTCCAAGCCTCGTTTCTCCTTGCTCTTCCCAATTTTCTGCTTTCCTCCTTTCATCTCCTTTTTAAAGAAATTTCTAAAAAATGTGTTGTTTTTTTGTTTTCTTTTAAAGCAATTTTCTCACGGCTGATCAGATATACACCTGAAAGTAAATAGGCAATGCCAGCCACAGTTGGAGTAACGATTTTAAGAAAGGTAAAAAATTACGGAATGAATCATGAACATTGTGAATATTGTTTCCATTTGTATAATTAATACAAAGTCTGCAAAATTCAGGTTTTTTGTAGGTGCAGGACTTGGACCACATGAATGGCAAGAAAGAACCCACATTCCTGGCAGGACCAAGAGTGATTGATTTGAGATGCTTTTTTAGACCAACCTGCAACATAAACCATCACTGAAAGAAAGCCAACAATTTAATGGCTGGTTTCACTAGACTTTTTCTTTTGGGTCACAGTTCCAATTTTAAGCTGAAACTGAAGATTTTTCATTATGGGAATATTATTAAAACCACATGCCCTCTCTTCCTTTGCCTCTGCCAGAAGAGCACACATTTCTTAAGGGATCAATGTTGGAGATGTCCAAGACTGGATCTGCAGGGCAGCAAACATCTGTCCTGACTTTGTAACCCTTTCTTGGTTGGCTTCAAGCAAAGGAACATCTGGCAAGTTCTAAAACTGGGTCCATTGAGCAAGTTCACTAACAGCCTGAGTTGCATACCTTATTTGTTTGACCCAGGGGTGGGCAAAATGGCTCCCCAGGACTATTTTTGTGGCCACCCAAGGTCAAAATATGAGGATCTGGGATCATTTTTGCCAGGGGGGGGGCTCGCTGTGTCATTTTAGCCCCATAAGAGGCCTTTTTAAAAAGCAGGGAGGGATGTCTGCTCACTTCCTATTGTCAAGAAAGGTCTTTCCTGGACCTAAAATGGCCCAGGGTCTGAAACATGCTTAAAATGTTCCTCATGCCCCTTGGAGGGCATTTCGGAGCAAAAAAATTTTTTTCCCAGGGAGGATGCAGTGGCAAGATGCAGCCCCCAAGATCTTCTGTTGGGCTTATGAGCCCCCCTTGTTGTTGTTGTGTCCCATCAAATCATTTCTGACTTATGGTGACTCCAAGGTAAACCTATCATATATAGTGGAGTTTTTTTGGCATGTTTTTCAGAGGGAATTTGCAACTGCTGTCTTGTGAGGCTGAGAGTGTGTGACTTGCTAGTCTCCCACAACTGCTCACCCTTGCCTTAACCTCTGGATTGCAAAACACCAAATCTACCCCAGTTTTAAATAGCAATTTAGCCTGGGACAAGAGAAAAGTACTAATATAATATTCTACTGATGGAGGGTCGTATCTGCACAGGCCAAATAAAACATTTGCCAGATGTCTTCTTGGTGGGGAGCAACAGCAATAGCATTTACATTTCTATACCGCTGAATAGTGAACTCAGCACTCTCTAAGCGGTTTACAATCTGTAAGCCAATTGCTGCCAACAAGCTGGGGACTCATTTTACTGACCTACGAAAGGATGGAAGGCTGAGTCAACCTTGGAGCCCTGTGGGGATCAAACTCACAATCTTGTGGCTCCAGTTTTGTTATTGCTAACTGCCTTTGTGTTGGTCTCGACCCATGGCAGTGACCCTATGGATGAGACCTCTCCATGCCCCCCTCTATCCTCTCCTGCTCTGCCCAGCTCCTGCAAACTCTTATTCGTGGTCTCTTTAATAAAGTCCATCCATATAGCCTGTGGCCTTCCTCTCTTTCTGCTACTGTCTACCTTTTCCAACATTATTGTTTTTTTCCAACGATTCATGCCTTCTCATGATGTGGCCAAAGTACGACAGTCTAAGTCAGGGGTAGGCAACCTTTCCCCTTTAAGGGCCGAGGGACTTCAGCTCCCAGAAGCCTCAGCCATTTTGGCCAATAGTCCCATGTTGGCCAATAGCTCCTGGGATTCTGGGAGCTGAAGTCCCTCGGCCCTTAAAGGGGAAAGGTTGCCTACCCCTGGTCTAAGTCTTGTCATCTTGGCTTCTAGGGATATCTCTGGTTTGATCTGCTCTATGACCCAATTCTTTGTCCTTTTGGCTCTCCATGGGATCCTCAGCACTCTTCTCCAGCACCACTTTATCTCAAATGCATTGATTTTCTTCCGATCTTCTTTCTTAACTGTTCAGCTCTCACATCCATCCATGGGAATAGGGAATATGATGCCTTGTATGATTCTGACTTTTGTGCTGAGTTGTATGTCTTTGCATTTTAGGATCTTTTCTAGTTCTTTCATAACTGCCCTCCCATTCTTAATCTTCTTGGTGGCTACAGTACTGACATTTAACCACTGCACCACCTGGGCATCTCATCTGGGGAGTCTGGTTCTGGTGCACACAGTCTAGATGTCTGGCCAGTTCAGCACCAAACCCAGTGTACAGCCCCCTTAAAATGTATTTTAAAAGCTCACTTTTTGCTCTGGATCTTCCTGGAAGATCTGGATCCCTCCACTGCAATGCAGGTGACTGTTTACAAAACATCCCATTGTGACACCTGCTGCTGCCGGTGAGAGTTGCTTGCTCTGAAGCCAGAATGAGGTGCCCAGGTATTGATGGACACCTTGTTCTGACCTCAGAACAAGTGACTGTTGCCACTGGTGGTGGGCAGCAGAGGACAAACAACCACCTGGCATCGTAAAAGGGGTGCCCAGGTAATAGGGATGTGTGTGTGTGTGTGTGTGTGTGTGTGTGTGTGTGTGTGTGTGTGTGTCAGGGTGGATCCAGAATATTCTGGCCCATGAACCACCACTGAGGAGTCAGACTGTGGCTCGGGAGACATTGACCCTGCAAGTGCAAAAGGACAGAAAACCCAAAGGCTGGAAGGAGAGTGCAAAAATCCTCTCCCAAGATTTGTGGACAAGGTTCATGCTTCCAACCTTGGACATGTAAGATAGGAACTGGCTTGACAATCATACATGTGAATGGGATCTAGGAGTCCTAGTAGACCATAAGTTGAACATGAGTCAACAGTGTGATGCAGCAGCAAGAAAAGCCAATGCGATTCAAGGCTTCATCAATAGAAGTATAGTGTCTAGACTGAGAGAAGTAATAGTGCCTCTCTATTCTTCTTTGGTCAGGCCTCACCTGGAATACTGTGTCCAGTTCTGGGCACCACAAATCAAAAAGGATGTAGGCAAGCTGAAGCGTGTCCAGAGGAAGATGACCAAAATGGTGAAGGGTTTGGAAACCATAAAGCCCTATGAGGAACAGCTTAGGGAGCTGGGTATGTTTAGCCTGGAGAAGAGAAGGTCAAGAGGGGACATAATAGCCCTACTTAAATATTTCTTTTCCTGTAGCTTGAATCCACTGCTCCATGTCCTACTCTCTGGAGCAGCAGAAAACAAGCTTGCTGTCATAATGAGGATGGAGCAAGCTTGTTTTCTGCTGCTGCAGAGAGAAGTGCCCAGCCCAGAGGTTCCAACTCCCAAAGGTAGTGTTGCTTTATAGCAGGGGTAGGCAACCTAAGGCCTGGGGGCCGGATGTGGCCCCCCAAGGCCTTTGGACTGGCCCCAGGCTGGTCCTGCCGCCACCGCCGCCCCCCGCCATGATGATATTGATTATTGTTGTTATTACTTGTTCTTGAGGTTTTCTTGGAAAATCTCCACAGGGGGTTTGCCATGGCTTTTCTGGGGCTAAGAGAGTGTGCATGCATATTTTTTTAATTTTAAATTTTTATATTTATTTATTTATTTATTGTGCTTCGGCCCCCCCCCATTGTCTGAGGGACAGCAACCCGGCCCCCAGCTCAAAAAGGTTGCCTACCCCTGCTTTATAGACTCATATGAGCGGGGAAATTACTCGCTCACAAAATAGCCATTTAAATGAAGTATGATTCCTACCATGATAGCAGTTCTTCAAATGCAGCAGAACAGCTGGGAGTGCTTTCAATTAAGAGGTTCGGACAGGAGGTGGGTAGAGAGAGAGATTTGAGAACAAAACCAAAATAAAACAAAACCGCATCACAACGGTTGAGGCAGGCGCCCTCTGACTTGCTGCGGAATTTATTACCAAATCTTATTAAATGCGAGTTAGATCCAGCCTTTCGAGCAACAAAGATTCTTCGTCTATGAAAACCAAATTAATTACACTACACCAGTTGTACAAATTTTCAGTTGTCACGTGAACTCAGCAGTAACGTAGTGAAGAGGCATCATTTATTCCAGCTGCTAAAACAGATTTTATTTGCTCCTCCTTTTGCAGGGTTTGGAACATATTGCCATCTACTATCATGCAAGGAAAGTGGAGTGGCATGCATTAGATGGGGTCTCTAATAGGAACAGAATACGGAAAGCACAAGGCAATAAATAAATAGATAAATAAATGGCCCATGTCTTGTCTCAAAGGCATCTCCTTCTGCAAAGACATATTTAACAAACACTTCCCTTTATTTGGATTAGGGACTTGGGAACTGGCAAGCAGAGGGAATGGGCATGGAGGAGTGCCCAGTTCTGTTCTTGTCGCTGGCGCCTCCATGCCTCTCCATCCCTTTTTCCAACTCTCCTCCAGTGAGGCAATAGCCATGTCATACCCTCCAACAATTCAAAGATCAAGGCTGGGATCTGTGTGGCCAAGCAAC